GAAACTACCAGCTGCTCCGCGGGAGAAAGATGAGGCTTTCTACTCCCGTAAAGATTTACACCCTCGGAAACCCTGTACAGGGTCGCTATGAGTCGGTTCCGACTCCACGGCACATAACAACAACAACAACCCTTGGCGTACAGCTAATTCCAAATCATAGACTCCTGATAGGACAATGTAGAACCGCCCATAGGGTTTCCAAGGCTGTAATCTTTACAGAAGCAGACTGACATAGCTTTCTCCTTCAGAGCCACAGGTAGGTTTGAACCACTGACCATTTGGTTAACATCTGAATACTTCGCCAGTTCACAACTAGGACTTCTTTTTATATTTTTATGTAAATTGTCCCTTTAAACTATCAAACTAATCAAATTGCTTATCCCCCTATATTTTGCAATTATTAGAGTTTACTTTAAGTTTATTATTTTGCTCTCCTTCATAGATTTACTATGTAGACTGACCATGAAACAAAAATGATTCCCATCACAACCAATATACTGGGTGTTGGCTAATAAATCAGTTATCTGAGCATTTTTCTAAAGTACAAACAACTACACTCAATTTGGGCAGTTTAGAGTAATTTTGGAATCTTGGTGTGGCATTGTGGAATAAAGCATTGGACTGCAAGGTCAGTTTAAACCACAAGATCCATGGTTCAAACTCACCAGCTGCTCCTTGGAAACCCTGTATGGGTGGCTATGAGTCAAAACTGACTCCAGGGCACTTAACAATAACAACAACAACAAAGAGTAATTTTATTATATAATTTTTTTTCTATGTGAAATGCTAAGGACCAAGACTTTGGCTCCACTAAAGTGTATAACTTCTTTCCCAACTGCCTGAGTATCTGGCTAGTCTTCCCATTGGTTATTATTCATTGTGTACAAAAAAACATATACATGTACAAAGTACCAAGCAAAAGACTTACGTTCAGGCAGTGGAATGAGTGGTATGAACTTGCTGAACACACTCTTCGTAATAGAAGGACTGGATACAAAGCATGAATAATTGCCTTTGTCAGATGCCTCCACATTTGCAATGTAGAGATTGCCATTGGTCTGTGATACAAATCTTCGTTTATCCATTGTGATAAACACAGGAAATTCATTTAGAAGCCATCGATAGCTAAGATCATCTAGAAGAAAATATTATCTACTAAGTATTAAGGTCTTCTCCAAAAGCAAAATTTTCGAATAGCAAACTATTCACATAATCTCATCTAGACTATTGAATAGCAAATGTCTGAAGTAGGTCAAGACAAAATTAGTACAAATTTTCTGATAATTATCATATTTTGAATACTCACATGCGCTGTGAAAATGATACCTATTTACCTATATCTCTTTTTTATTTTGTGAACTATTATTAATTTGGAAGACAAATAACTGGCCAACCAACTGGAATAAATTCATATTTGTGTTCAATTCAAAGAAAGGTTATCCAACAGACAAAGGAAATTATTGAAAAATGTCATTACTACCAGGTGTAGGTGAAATTTGACTGAAGATCATTAAAAAAATGATTGCAATAGAACATCAAAAAGGAACTGTCAGAAATTTAAGGTGGTTTCTTAATAGGACATGGAATTAATCTTGGTTGAAAGCAGAAAATACCAGAAAGATATATACTTGTGATTAATTGACTATCTAAAAGCATTGGATTGTGTGTATCATAGCAAATTATGGATACTGTTGCTAAGAATGGGAATGCCAGAACACCTAAATGTACACATGCAGAAACTGTGCATAAACTAGAAGGCAGTTGTTGGTACAGAACAAGAGCATATTGCATGGTTTTAAAAATAAGAAAAGGTATGTGTCAGAGTTATATCCTTTCACCATATTTATTTGATCTGTACGGGTAGCAAATAACCTGAGAAACTGTATTATATGAAGAAGAGAACAGCATCAGAATTGGTGTAAAGCTTATCTTATCTGTGATATGCAGATAACACAACCTTGCTTGCTAAAAATGAATTAGACCTATTGATGAAAAAAAAAAAAAAAAAGACTATAGCTTTCAGTATGGGTTACACCTCAATGTAAAGAATATAAAAGTTCTCACAACTAGACCAGTAATCAACATCATGATAATCAAATAAGAAGTTGTAGTTTTTAAGGATTCTACTTTACTCAGATGCATAATAAACACTCATGGGAACAGCAGTCAAACAAAGCAAATGTAAGGATGGTGAGACTTAATCTCATGCACTTTAGACATGTTACCAGAAGGAACCCATTCTGGAAAAGGACATCATACTTGGTGAAGGTCAGTGAAAATGGTGAAGATTCACAGTGAGATGGAATGACACCGTGGCTATAACAATAACCTCAACATAACAATGATTGTGAGTATGGTTCAGGAACTGGCAATGTTTAGTTCTAGCGTGCATAAAGTCACTATGAGTCAAAATTGACATGATAGCACCCAACAACAACAATGTGGTTAATCATCTTGATTTCATTCATACATTGCCATGCAGCATATTGATCATGGGCTCTGGAATTATAAAACCTAGATTCAAAATCCTAATTCTACTTGTTGTCATTGTTGTTACGTGCCATCAAGTCAGCTCCAGCTCATAACAACACCATGTACAACAGAGGATGATCCTGCACCATCCACACATTTCTATCTTTGAGTCCATTATTGCAGCCATTGTGTCAATTCATCTCATTGAGGGTCTTCCTACTTTTTGCTGATCCTCTAGTTTATTGAGCATCATGCACTTCTCTAGGGACTGGTCTTTCATGATAACATGTCCAAAGAAAGTTACACAAAGCTTCACAATCCTCACTGCTAAGGAGACATATTTCCTAGTTTCTCTGGCAGTTCATGATATATTCAATATTCTTTGCCAGCATCATAATTCAAAGGCATTGATTATTCTTTGGACCTCCTTATGCCTTGTCCAGCTTCCACATACATATGATATGATTAAAAAGTAAGGTCAGATTTTGGCTCCTGTGAACTTGTTTTAATTTTCTTCAGCTTCGGCCTGAACTTGCATTTGAGCTATTGGTAGTCAGTTCTACAGTTCCGACTGAACTTGTTTTGGTTGATATTATTGACCTTCTTCATCAACTCTATTCACAGATGTAGCCTATTTGATCCCTGCATATTCTATCTAGTAAGATTCATGTATATATACCTGCATTATAGTGCTGAAAAAAGTTATTGGTCTTGCAAAATGCTATCATGTAAACTCCAGCATAGTTCCTGTCACCAAGCCTATGTTTTCCAACTACCAATACCTCCTTTTGGTTTCCAACTTTCATATTCCAGTCACCAGTAATTACCAGTTTTTTGACTGCATGTTTGATCAATTCAGACTAAAGAAGTTGGTTAGCTTCTTAAATTTCTTCAACACTGGCTTTGATGGTTGGTGCATAAATTTGAATAATAGTTGCATTAACTGGTCTTCCTTATACATCTATAGATATTATCCCATCTCAGACAGCATTGTATTTCAAGACAGATCGTAAAATGTTTTTTTGTTGATAAATTCAATGCCATTTGTCTACAATTTGTCATTCCTGACACAGTAAATCATATGATAGTCCCATTCAAAATGGCCAATACCAGTCTAATTCAGTTCACTAATGCCTAGGATAGCAATCTTATATGCTCTGGTTTTGATGATTTCCAATTTTCCAATTTTGATGATTTCCAAATTTGCTCCAATTTTGATGATTTCCAATTTTCCTGGATTTACACTTCATACATTCTACATTCCAATTATCAATGGATGTTTGCAGCTGTTTCTTCTCAATTTGAGTTGTGCCCCATCACCAAATGAAGACTCCAAAGCTTTGCTCCATCAGTGCACATCATAAAGGATGACTCTACTTTGAGGAATCAGCTCTTCAGTGTATTTTTAGCGTCTTCCAACCTGATGGACTCATCTTCCAGCACTATATCAGGCAGTGTTTTGCTGTTCTTCATAGGGTTTTGAGGGGCTAACTCCTAAGAAGTGGATTGTCTATTCTTCCTAGTCTGTTCTTAGACTGGAAGTTTTGCTGAAACTTGCCTGTCATGGGTGATCCTGCTTGCATTTGAAATGCCAGTGGCATAGCTTCCAGCATCACAATAACATGCAAGTCAGCACCGTATGACAGACAGACAGACATATGGGGATGATTAACCATAATATGGCTTTTTCTTGTTTTTCTGCTATTTTAAGAGACAGACTTAAAGATGAGTTTACATAACCTGTTCTGGTTAGGTTAAAAAGAGAAAACCACAGAAACAAGGGAAAACATGCTACTGGTTTTCTTAAAAATTGGGTAGTTCTAACCTAGGGGAAATTCCTTTGGTTAAAATACTAGTTGGTTAGGTCAGAAATGGAATTTCCTCATTAATTTGCTGCCTCTCATATAGTTTTTCACTGTTTAACTCTTTGAGGAAACATGCAAGTACTTGTTTGATTAATTCACAAAAGGCAAAAATGTATTATGCATATTTCTTGGATACAAAATGATGATGCTTCTTTAAAACCGCAAACTCACTGCCATGAAGACAAACAATTGTGATAGTTGCCTTGCCTCTCTCTGACTTAAGGATCAAACGTAAGGTTGAAAAAAAAAATCGAATCCCTTTAAGAAATGGATCTCAGTTTAGCTCTGAGTTAAATTCAGATATATGTCTTATAGGGATTCAATCAATTATCATTTTATTCATGTTTTTTCTCATTTCTTGCAAATGATAAAATTAACAATCTGAAAAATACATCTGTTTTCCTCATAGTAATATTAGCTGGACTAAAAAATAAATTGCAAAACAATTTTTTTAAAAAATAGTACAAGCCAGCATACGTATAAGAAGTGTTGCTTTGATTTGTAGATGTCTCAGACAACATCACATTACTTCAGGAAAGTCTGGACTATGTTGTTGTTGTTGTTAAGTGCCGTCGAGTCGGTTCCGACCCATAGTGACCCTGTACAGGGTTTCCGAGGGTGTAAATCCTTACGGGAGTAGAAAGCCTCATCTTTCTCCCGCGGAGCGGCTAGTAGTTTCGAACTGCTGACCTTAAGGTTCACAGCCCGATTCGTAACCACTACGCTACCAGATTTGTTCAGGCCAACTATAGTGTATTTGACTAGTTTTATTATATTGCTTTGAAAAGTTTGAATTTCTCAAAGACTGTTTACTTAAATCTACAATCAACAATAATGGAATCAGCAGTCAAGAAATTAAAGGATGCATTTCATTAGGCAAATCTGCTGCAAAAGACTTCTTTAAAGTGATCAAGAGCAAAGAGCAAAGAGCAAAGAGCAAAGACATCAGTTTCAGGATTAAGGTTCCACTGACCTAACCCATGGTATTTTCAATGGTCTCATATGCATGTGAAAGCTAGACAATGGTAAGGAAGACCTGGAAGAACTGATGCATTTGAATAAAGTGTTGGTGAAGAAAACTGAAACTACCATACACTGCCAAAAAAACCCCAAACAAATCTGTCTTGGAAGAAGTACATCAAGAATGCTCCTTGGAATGCTTCATCTCACAAACTTTGGACATGTTATCAGGAGGGATCAGTCATTGAAAAGAATATCATCCTTGGTAAAATGGAGGGTCAGTGAAAAATTGGAAGACCTTCAAAGAGATGGATTAACACAATGGCACCAACAATGGGCTCAAACATCGTAACAATAATTGTGAAGACAATGCAGGACCAGACATTGTTTTCTTCTGTTGTGCAAAGGGTCATTATGAGCAGGAACCAACTCAAAGGCATCTAATCTAGCAACAACATGATTGTTGCTGTTAAGTGCTCTGGAGTCGGTTCTGACTCATAGGAACCCTGTATAGGGTTTCTGAGGAGTGGCTGGTGAGCGTGAACCACTGACCTCATGGTTTCAACTGGCCTTGCAATCCAACACATTAACACACAGCGCCACACTAGGACAACAATGTAGTATCTCGAATAAGTCATACATCTTTAAAGTTGTCTATCTTTAAGCCACAGCTCATAGGAAACAGCTTCCTGCTGATCCTTCTAAAATATATTTTTGCAGAAGGTCTAGAAGTTTAAGAAGTATTATACATTTATTAGTGATTTATTCCAATATAATAATAAAAAAATCCAAACAGGTAAATTTTCTTTTCCATGTAACTTCTAATGTTCATCAATTAAGCAAATAATTTTATTTATTCTTTCAATGCCTCACTCCATCCTGTGCTAGACATTAGATGCTCAGTTGTATATTAATTAGAACTTGGATAAACATGAGTACTGGTATGATGCTGTGGATCATCGCTGGACTTTGAACCACAAGGTCGGTAGTTCACATTCACCAGCTGCTCTGCAGAAGCCCTATACAGGGTCGCTATGAGTTGGAACTGACTAGATGGCACTCAACAACAACAACTAAAAATATATATTTGTGATTATTCCTGATAAATAAGTAAGTAAAGAGTTGTATATTTTATTTTACTTACTTTATTATTATAGTTTGGGTGAAATTTTACAGAGCAAATTAGTTTTCCAATCACCAATTTATATGCATTGGTTCATAATATAAAATGCAAACCCATCAATATAGCAATACTTTTCCTGCTTAATCCCTGGTTTTCTCCGTTCCGTTTGTCCTTCATTCCTGACTTCTGAACTTTCTTTTCAGGCAAACACTGCTCTTTTAGTCTTCTATGTTTGATTATTGGAGTTCTAGTGTGGCATTGTAGTATAAGCACTGGACCACAAGGTTGGTTTGAATAGCAAGGTTGGCAGTACAAACTCACTAGCTGCTCCTTGGAAATCTTAACAGGGTCTCTCTCTATGAGTCAGAACAGACTCCATGGCACTTAACAACAAAAACATGGTGGATTATTATAAGGTATGCTATTGTTCACTTTACATATCTATCTGTTGTTTGCCAGCGAGGTGATTCTCAGAGATGGGTTCTGCTCAGAGCTTGAAGGGTGTCTAAAGGCCACAGTCTCATGGGTTCTAGTCATATCTATTAGAACAGTAAACTTGGTCTTTTTATGTTAATGAAATTTACTCTACATTTTTCTTCCATTCTAGTCAAGGCAAAATTTACCTCCTTTAAACAAAAATGTGGCTTATGATTCAATAGTTAGTAATTGCTATCATGATTAATTGTGACTGACACAACTGTAAAGGTAGAAGTTTTGTAACAAAAAGGGGGGAGTAGTTAATCTTACAGTCCAGAAACAGAGGACCTTTGGTCCATCAAGGGAGAAGCGCATGAGCGGAACATGGGACCCTATCCAAAGAAGCAGCAACACCACACATGGAGGCGGAGATGATGACATAGAGAGAGAGAGCAGCTGAAGACTCCAAAATCATGGGACGAGAAAGGCTGTGTGCTGGTGGCCAGGAGATAGGCTTGCAGAAAGCACCCTTTGGTTGCTTAAATGATTATATATTCCTAAGTGTTTCTGTATAACCCCCCAAAAAACAAACAAACAACAACAACAAAAAACCCCAGAGGGAACAGAAACAAATACTGTTGAATAATGATGCATGGACATTGTAATCATTGCAATGAAATGATGAGTGTAAAACCAATGTTCTCCCATGTAAACGATCACTAAATTCACAGTTGTGGGATGACATCAAGAACATCATACATGAAGAAAGCAAAAAGTCATTAAGAAGATAAGAGACAAGGAAAAGATCAAAACGGATGTTAGAAGAGACACTGAAACTTGCTCTCCAGTGTAAAGATGCTAAAACAAATGAAACAAATGAGGAGGTCCAAGAGCTGAACAGAAAAATTCAAAGGTCAGCTCGAGAAGACAAAGTCAAATATTACAGTGAAATGTGCAAAGATCTGGAGTCAGAAAGCCAAAAAGGAAGAACACGCTCAGCATTTCTCAAGCTGGAGGAACCTGTTCTGGTCAGGCTAAAAAGTGAAAAACCACAGAAAAAAAATCAAGGCTTTGACTTTTGTTATTGAAGGATTCTTTGGGGAAATTATTGAATGATGCAGAAAGGATCAACAGAAGATGGAAGGAATACACAGAATCACTGTACCAAAAGGAAACGATCAATGTTCAACCATTTCAGGAGGTAGCATAAGATCAAGAGCCGATGATACTGACGTCCAAGGTGCATTGAAGGTATTGGCAAAGAACAAGGTACCAGGAACTGATGGAATAAAAATTGAAATCTTTCAAGAAAGTGAGGTGGCACAAGAGGCACTCACTTATCTATGCCAAGAAGTTTGGAAAACAACTATCTGGCTGACTGATCTGTATTTGTGCCCATTCCAAAGAGAGGTGACCCAACGGAATGCAGAAATCATCGGACATCTTTGATATCCCATTCGAGTAAAGTTTTACTAAAAGTAATACAGAAACAGCTACAAGCATAAATTGACAGAGAACTTCCAGAGGTTCAAGCTGGATTCAGAAGAGGCCGTGGAACAAGGGATATCATTGCTGATGTCCAATGGATCTTGACTGAAAGCAGAGAATATCAGAAAGATGTTTACCTGTGCTTTATTGACTAAGCAAAGGCTTTTGATTTTGTGGATCATGACAAGTTTTGGACAACATTGCAAAGTATGAGTATTTCTGAACACTTAATTGTGCTTATGAGGAATCTGTACATGGGCCAAGAGGCAGTTCTAACAGAATATGGGAACACTGAATGGTTTAGAATTAAGAAAGGTGTGCGACAGGGTTGTATTCTTTCACCATACTTATTCAATCTGTATGCTGACCAAATAATCCGAGAAGCTATGAAGAAAAACGTGGCATCAGGATTGGAGGAAGACTCATTAGCAACCTGCAATATGCAGATGATACAACCTTGCTTGCTGAAAGTGAAGAGGACTTAGAATATTTACTGATGAAGATCAAAGAGCCTTCGGTATGTATTGCATCTCAATGTAAAGAAAACAAAACTCCTCACCATGGATCAATAAACAACATTCTTATCAATGGAGAAAAGATTGAAGTTGTCAAGGACTTCATTATTTTTGGATCAACTATCAACACTCAGGGAAGCAGTGGTCAAGAAATCAAATGATGTATTGCATTAAGCAAATCTGCTGCACAAGAACTATATAAAGTGTTGAAGAGCAAAGATGTCAGCTTGAGGACTAAGGTGCACCTGACTCAAGCCATGGTATTTTCAATAACCTCATATGAATGCAAAAGCTGGTCAGTGAATAAGGAAGACCATAGAAGAATTGATTCTTTCGAGTTGTTGTGTTGGAGGAGAATATTGAAAGTGCCAAGGGCTGCCAAAAGAACCAACAGATCTGTGTTGGAAGAAGTGCAGCAAGAGTGCTCTTTAGAGGTCAGGATGGCCAAACTTCGTGTCTCATATTTCGGACATATTATCAGGAGGGACCAATCATTGGAGAAAGATATAATATTTGGTAAGGTGTAAGGTCAGAGAAAAAGAAGAAGACCCCCAGCAAGATGGATTTGCAAAGTGGCAGAATCAATGGGCTCAAGCGTGGCAACGATAGTGAGTTTGGCCTAAGATTGGGCAGTGTTTCATTCTGCTGTGCATAAGGTCGCTATGAGTCGGTACTGACTCAATGGCACCTAACAATAATAATAACATTGCTTATAAACTGAAATACTTATAGATCCTTAGAATTAGGGTCAACAGACTAAAGTGCCAAGAAAGAAACAAGCTATAACATTATAAAGTGATGTACTGCCAGCTTTTGTAAATATTTAGACATTTGATTCTAAGTGTACCATTATTAAGAAAACAAAAAAATAACTTTTCCATTTTGTTTTAAATATGCTTACAAAGACAGACCTCAGATTATCATGAGCGAGTTCCATTCCTAAATCTGTCTTTAAGTCAAATTTGTACATATTATAGAATAGTTAAATATAGTTTATATCTAACATCAGTTAGTATATGTGCTTTTCTATAAAGGGACCCAAGTGGTGCAGTGGTTAAATTCTTGGCTGCTAACTTAAAGGTCATCAGTTCAAACCCACCAGCTGGTCCATGGAGAAAGACATGGAAGTTTCCTGCTGCAAAGATTTACAACCTTGGAAACCCTATGAGGCAGTTCTACTCTGTCTTCTTGGGTTGTTATGAGTCACAATCGACTAGATAGCAATAGGTAACTTTCTATGAATAAAACATCTTTTGTTGTTGTTAAATGCCGTTGAGTCAGTTCTGACCCATAGCTACCCTCTAGAGGGTTTCCAAGCAGTGACTGGTGAGCTTGAACCACCAACCTTGCAATTCAAACTGACTTTGCAGTCTAGCGCATTAACCCACAGTGCCACACCAGGACTCTTTAACACAGTAATTATCATATTAATTACAATAATAATGTTTTGATGCATATCATAAGGTAGCATTCGTTTGTTATTATGGAACATTTTATGTTCTTCAAATTTTTAATATAACAGACTTTCCAGGGATTGGGTCATAACTACAGGTTGTATGTTAAGTCAGACACTGGAACCTGGGAATTGCTTGTAGTCGTAAAGGAATTAAATTTACCTGGAAAATGATATGGAGGATCACAAAGAAGCACCATCCCTTTTCCTTCTTTAACTCTGACCTCAGGACGTTCCTCAGGTGGGAAAGGATCAAGATCTAATTACAAAAGAAAAAAGAAAGCATTTGTTTTGTGGTCAATAGAAAGCTAGACATTCATTATATTTTGCTGCTTAATCACTTTGTATATATAGTACTTTGTACTTTGTAGTTACAGTATTTTCTAGTTTAGTGAAACCTGTGGTAGTTAATTTCATGCTCTTTCATGCTGAGGTCTGCATGCACTATGGAAAGTTTCAATGATTAATTCACTAAAACTATTGATAGCATTCTGCGTAGCATTCTGGAAATGAAAGATTTCCAAGATTCTAAAGACTTTTGCTACAGCTTTAACAAGTATCTCTGTAAGGCTTCTGGCAACATAATGGACTCAAACAAAACCAGGGACTATCAAAGAAAGCAATAATGGAGATTCATTTGAAGGGTATAGAGTTCCTTTCCAAGAAGCACTTAGGTATTTGGAGGAGATAAAGTAAAAGCAGGACCCTAGTGGAGAGCTTCCATGTCACCAATCTTCTTATCCTTTTCAACATTTGGGTTTTCCTGAGTTTTCATTCCTTTATTCAACTATGTGTGAAACTCATATTTAGCTTGATTCATTCATAACCTACCATTTTGATTTTTCATTGATTTTACTGATATTCGTTCTGCTTCAATCCTATGTCTCCTCCTGCTCCTTCACTATAATCAATTTTCAAACTCTATCTAACTTTTAACTCCTCTCAATAGATTGAATACTTTTGAAAAATCATCTGTTTTAAATGTTGCCTTCTTACCTAAGGGCCTTCATATCTGTATCTCCAGTCTGAAGCTTCAGTTGAACGCTAGTCCTTCTCTTCAAATGCCTACTTGACATTTGGACTTCAATAACTTAATACCATCATAACCTATGCATATTAAATAACCATTTAAATTTCTCCCATCCTTTAAATTGGTTTTAGCTCCTCACATCCCCCTTTAAATGAAAAGAGAATGTTTCTGGCCTTTAACTAGACTTAAGTTGGAAAAAAAAAAAAATCAGTGGCTTCCTTTCCTTCAGTGTAATATAATTTGTCAAGTAGTTCTTCAAGGTTTTTTACTTATGAGGGGACTTTAAAAAGTTCATGGAAAAATGAACACAAATGTTTTGAAGTACCCTTGTATTGCTGACATTCCACTGTTACAACACTAATATAATCTGGTGGCTCTAGCTCACGCTCACTTTCTTCTGGTAATCACTACCACAGAGATAGTCTTAAAGCATCATTTTCACTCTATCGTCTACTTTAAAAAGGGTTCCAGTGCTTAGTCATAGAAGCACATACTAGAGACCATCTGGTTCAACCTCTCACAGCCAAGGTGAACATTTCCTTCAGAATAGCTTCTAACTTTTAGCCTAGTACAGCATTCCTCTGCCTATGTTTTAGTATCTCTCCCATATGGAGGAAATATTAACTTAAGGTAATTTAGCTAATTCTTTCCATTTATTCCAACAAGAGAACTTAAATGTTAAGGACTATGATTTTTCCAGGTAACCTTTGAACTTTAGAGAGTCACAAAATGTTATTTGCAATATCTAAGATGCTTCCTGTCTCCAAGAACAAATTTTTACCTTCCGAAAACAAATTTGTCTTCCATTATGAATAGATACATACTCATTTACTTCCATTGATACTAGTGTTCAAGGAGTCATTTAGAAATCTTTAGAGTATGTATGACATAGTTTACTTTCCAGTATTCTTTTTCATTGTTTCAAGTATATTAAAAATACCACTCATAATTTAGTCTCTCAAAAGATTTTCTTCATTACACATTTAAGATACACTCATGATATAAGACCCACTCCATTCATGAAGGTTTTGCCTCACATTTTTTCCTTCTTTGTTTTTCTTCTCCATAAACTCTTATAATATTGTTATTGTTAAGTGCCACCGAGTTAGTTGCGACCCACAGCAACACTGCATAGGGTTTCCAAAGAGCGGCTGGTAAGCTTGAATCACTGACCTTGCAGTTCAAATGGCTTTGCAATCTGGTACATTAACCCACAGCGACACACCAGGACTCCTAAACTCTAATAATAGCAGATGTGAATATCTGTTTTAAAGGCCAAACTTCTTTGTATACTAATTTAAAGTTTTCTCTGTGGTTATGGCCTGTCTCACTACCAACAAACTGAAACCTGTTGAGGGATTGGAATGTCCTCTTTAATATCCCACAAATAAGCATGATGTAAAATGTATTAGAATGTTGAGGCAAGAGAGTTTATTGTCACTCAGAGAGGTAAGTGCAAATATTTTAATGGAAGGGAAAAATCCCAAAGAGTAAGGAATTGCAAATCTATCACACAAATGTATGTTATCTATAATTAAAATACATTTAATTCGTAATTCTCCTAAATACACTTACCCTTTCAGAAAGTAACAATTACTTACATCCAAAGCTTAACGTTGCTTCAATGCTTCTGACCATTCCATAGTTATTTGATGCTAAACAGTAGTAAATTCCGGCATCTTTCTGCTTGTCAGGGTTGTTGATGACAAGGTTTCCTCCCACCATACTATACCGGTCACTTGTCAGATCAATATCCCCATTATTCATTCTCCATCTGTGAAGGAAAGAAATAAATGTCATATCAAAGGTCACAAGACTGGGCAACAGTGTACTGGGCCATCATCATTCTAAAATAATATGGGTTCAGCTCCATTGAGAAGTCAGATGGTTGAGTATATGATTCAGAGTGTTATTTCTTCACACCCTGCAATTCCACGTCCCTGTGCTCTTGATTTACAGTTTAGCTCAGGCACAGAAAAATAAATCCTAAAGTGCATGACATATTTCCTCTTTTTTCATGATGCATCACAAAGTACAAATATTTATTGGGCTTTGGCCCATAAATGTATTTCTCAGCAGTTCTACATGGATTATAATGATCCCCATTGATGTATACACTAGACTGCTAACCACAAGGCAGTGGTTCAAACACACTAGCCATTCCTTAGAAACCCTATCGAGGGTCGCTATGAGTCAGACCCTCTATGAGACCCTCTATATAGCAGCCCTCTATATGAGTCAGACTCAACTGGCACTTGCAGTAACGTATTTATATAAAATATTAAAAGTATCACTATAACAGAAATGTAATATAAATCGTCAACAGTTTTTGTTAAGTGCCTTCAATTAGGTCTTGACTCATAGCGACCCTGTATAAGGCTTTCCAAGGAGCAGCTGATAGGTTTGAACTGCTGATTTTGTGGTTCACAGTCCAGTGCTAATCCTACAACACCACACCAGGAGTCCACAAATTGTCAATATATTACACTAAATATCAAAAAAAATGTTCAATAAAGTAAATATAAACACAATCAGGATCCTGCACAGTAAATAGCATACTTTGACCACTAGAGGTCGATCACACAATTTGAAAATGATAAAAGTCAAAAGGATCAACTGTTTTTAAGTCACATTTGTTGTTGTTAAGTGCCGTCGAGTCGGTTCCGACCCATAGTGACCCTGTACAGGGTTTCCGAGGCTGTAAATCTTTATGGAAGCAGAAAGCCTCATCTTTCTCCCGCGGAACAACTGGTAGTTTCGAACTGCTGATCTTAAGGTTCGCAGCCCGATTCGTAACCACTACTCTACCAGAGCTCCTTTTTACTAGTAAAATATGACTTTACTCCACCAAGAGTTAATTTTCATTTGTAACTTTTCATATTACTTAGGGTTTATCACTAGCCGCTCCTCGGAAACCCTATACAAATCACTACAAATCGGAACCGACTCGATGGCACTTAACAACAATTCTTGCTAAAAGGACATTTTTTTCCCATGATGTATCTATAAAATAACCTAGGTGAGACATGTTGCAGGAATTAAACCATTAACTGGCAGAAATTGGTGTTACAAATAAACTAAAAGTAGATATGGGTTCAAAGTTTCCTGGTGAGCTCGAAAAAATAAAGAAAGAAACATAATTATATATAATAGTTTCCTATTAAGATGGCCATTTTTGGATTTTATAATCATTCCAGATCAAGGTTTATCCTTTAAGGGTTCAATGAATGATGACTTCTGTCTTAGTGACAGCTTTGCTTATTTTCTGGTATATTTCTGATCAGGATATAAATTTTGCCAAAAGATAATTTTTTTTTTTTTATTAAATAAAAATTACTGGGATATTTCCAACTGTCTTTTTTGTTGTTGTTAAAAACACAATATGTGTGTTGTGTGTTGTCAAGTCAGTGCTTAGTCATAGCAACCCTGTGTAGGGTTTCTGATGTTGTAGATATTTATCAGATCAGAAAGCCTCATCTTTCTTCCATGGTGCGACTGGTGGATTCAAACTGCTGAGCTTACAATTAAAAGCCTACCATGTAACACAATAAGCTACCAGAACACTTTTTTTTTACAACACAGATGTAATATAAAAGCAAACATAGAAAACCATATGGTTTTACACTTTTTTTAAACCCCTTTCCTACAAAAGATGAGTTTATTGATCCTGGTTGAACCACTCAATGTCAAGTTGCCCATGATTTGTCAAGGCGGTGAATTTCCATGTTGAGCAGCTTGAATTGTTGGCAATATTTTGTTTGTTTGTTTTAAGTTTTCATTGAATTTAGTCCAGAATTTTACTGTATTACCTTCATTTCCTCCCAATGAATCTGATTCTACTTTTGATGTCACATAATGATTCAGTTTTGCTATGTTTGAGTAAGTTCATTGGTTTATTTTCAGAAACATACACCATTGTTGCAATCCCTTTAAAATTGCCTTAAGTACAGTTTTAATCATGGTTCTTGTTACTTTGGGAGCCTGGATAAGATAACGGAAGAGTGACAATCACAAAGCTGATAACTGGAAAGTAAAGATTCCTCTAGGGATGTTGCCATGAATACCAAATTATCAGAGAATATACTATAAATATGGAACTCATGTGAGAATGACAAATTGCATGACCAAGGTCAGTACAGGTTTGCCTTTAATATTAAGGGAATTTTCAACAATTCAAGTGTTCAGACAAACAGCATCATGAGATGAATTTTTTGGCTGTCAAAAGCAGGCTGCTATGATAGTATGAAATACCTACTTCTCTCATCCAGCTCACTACGTTAATACATGAATTGTCAGACCAAGTGTGCTCTGGAAACTTCAGTGCTGGCACAACTTTTAAGAAGACCCTGGGGAAGTATTTACCAAACCAAACTAAACAAAGTGCACTTTGATTGTTATGTGTCTGTTTGGGGAAAGGGCAGAGCAAGGAGAAGCAAAGCTGCCCATGTTTCTAGAATACCATGTGAGAAAAACGTCTTCTATTTTGTAGCCTTCTTACCATCCTGGAGATCCATCTCTAAGGTTTCATTTATGGCTGTAAAAGACTGAGTCTAACAGAATAAACATAACTGAAATAGCTTTTGATATTCTACCTACCTATCTAGATCGCCAAATAATCTTGGTTGGTGCTGCAGGAAAATCACTATACTACTAACCATAAGAAGTCCTGGTGTGGCATTTAAGATACACACAAAGACAGTTCGAACCACAAGGTCAGCAGTTTAAACTTACTAGTGGCTCTTCAAAATCCCTATAACGGAGTGCTATGATTCAGAACTGACTCAATGGCACTTAACAAACACCAACAGCTAACCATGAGGTTGGTAGTTCAAACCTACTGGCCACTTTGCTGGAGAAAAATGAGGTTTTCTGCTCCCATAAGCTTTACAACCTCAGTGACCCTAAATAGGGTCGCTCTGAGTTGGAATCAACTCAAGGGCCTGCAACCACCACCATCAATCTTTACAGGAGATCGCTACATTTCTCTCCAGCAGAGTAGCTGATGACTTTTCTGTTCAAAGCTGAGTGTTTAACTACTATGTCACTCTTCATCTATCTATCTAGCCCTGGTGGCACTGTAGGATAAGCACTGGACTGCTAACTGCAAAGTTGGCAGTTCAAATCCACCCATCACTCTGTGAAGGACAAGGATGAGGGGTTCAGCTCCCATAAAGATTTAGTAATGAAACTTTTATGTAGAACCGTTACGAGACAGAATTGACACAGTGGCAGTGGGTTTGGTTTTTTTTGAGATAAAAATATATGTTGTAAAATCCCATTGAGTCAGTTTCAACTCATAGTGACCCTATATAGGGTTTCCGAGGAGAGTCTGGTGAGTTTGAATCTCTGACCTTCTTGGGTGCTCTCTCCCCTGCATTCCTTATAAACTGTACAATCCTACACTCAGGGCTATGTGTATAGACTCTCAAAACCAATGGTTTCTGGATAGAAATAAGTCTATTCAATCAATTATTTTCAAAATTAAAGTGTTATTTATAATTTTAAAGTATCTACTTACATTGCATTCCCATGGATGAAATTGAAATCTTTCAAAAGATGGTGGTTTTGTATTCAAATTTACATTTGACTTTAAGAAATAATTTTGTAAAAGCCAGATACAAGAGAAAATTAGTAATTAGAATAAAATGGGGTAGGTATGGGGTGGAAATCTTGTCTTTAATAACAAAATTTTATAACTTACATTACTTTATGTAGAAAACAGAAATCTACTATTAAAATTAAGTTTGTTGAGTGACAACCTTCAATTAGTTCAGAAGATATTTATACACTAGAGCCTCAATTTCCTCATCAATCACTCTCTTTGTCTTCATGGAACCATTTCACAGGTGAAATTTAAATCCATTGGCATCTGGTTAATTTTTAAAATCTTATTCTTTGTATAAGACAAAGGTATAATTTTCTGAACAATCTAAATCAAGATAGCCTATTGTTACTTTTGGCGTTATTTTTTATAGCAATATGCAATAGAAGCAAATAGAAAAAAGGTGTGTTTCTATATCTTGTCTTGAGTGTAGAGACAATTTACAAATTTGCTGTGCTTTCTGGAATATAGATTTGAGACTACCGGAAAAAAAAAAGTGATGCTTTCTAGAACTACCTATGTAAGCTCTTTAAATATAGTTAATAGCTGTACATAGGTGACTAAATGTACATCCTATATACATTATCCATCATCTATGGGTTTAAAGGAGCAGTGGTAGCGTAGTGGTTATGAATCGGGCTGTGAACTGCAAGGTCAGCAGTTCGAAACTTATGAGAGAAAGATGAGGCTTTCTGTTCCCGTAAAGATTTATAGCCTCGGAAACCCTGTACAGGGTCACTATGAATCGGAACCGACTCCACGGCACATAACAACAACAACACTGGGTTTGAAAGATGCCCTCGGTGGTACAGTGGTTAAAGCATTTGACCGTTGGCCTGAAAAGTCTGTGGTTTGAACATATTAGTCCCTCCACAGGAGAAAGATGTGGTAGTTTGCCTTAGTAAACATATTCAGACTTGGAAATCGTATGGGGCAATTTTACTGTCTTACAGTTGCTACTTTAGGAGCTCTACTAGTGCTGTAAGGAGCTCTGGTACCGTAGTGGTTACAAATCATCTGCTAACCGCAAGGTCAGCAGTTCGAAACTACCAGCTGTTCCGCGGGAGAAAGAGGAGGCTTTCTGCTCTCGTAAAGATTTACAGCCTCGGAAACCCTGTATAGAGTCGCTATGAGTCAGAACCGACTCCATGGCACATAACCACCACCACCACAATGCAGGATATAATAAATGAGTTTTTTGTTAGACCTGGTATCTGTTTGGCCATTAGACACCTTTTTTCTTTAATAGTTTGTATGACAATATTTTTGCTAATTTCCATGGGCTTTTGCCTTGGTTTTCATTTATCAGAACAGAGTCATAAATGTTGATTTGTAATCCCGAGTTAGCTACTCCATTGTGAAAAGAACAGTGAAGTACATTACTTGTAAACTGGAAAAGGGCTGGCTCGTGCCCTGCAGTTTAGTGAGACTTTTCCTTCTGGAGATTCCTCTGGATAAACAGTATTAATTGGTTGCTCTTCAAAAATTGGTCCAAATCCTTTGTCTTCCTCAGAAACTACAAAATAAAAATGAAATCATTCACAAATTTGGATAAACTGAAAAAAGTTATTTGACAAAAAATGTCTAAAAACAGAATCTTAATTTTCATTCAAAACAAAGATTATTTTCCTCCATAATTCTAAGAAAAGGAAAAGTTTTTAAGTTTCTTCATTTAAAATTCTCTTCTGCTCATCTCCCATCATTTTCCCCAAAAATAGTTTTTGTTGCAGTCACAATTAACTATTTTTGGTTTTTCAAATAAGCCTGGCTTTATGCCTCTGATCCTTTGCACAAATTGTTCTTTTTTATTCACTCATCCTCCCAATTTTTTCCTACTTCCCAACTTTGTGTGGCCCTTTATGACCTAGCCATACAGTCAGCTCCTTGAGAAAGCCACCTCTGATTCATCCTGTCTACAGTTAGTTCTCTTTTACGTACCCATAACTCACTATACAGGTGGCACTTAACAACCTACCGTGGTAATAGAGTCCTGGTTTGGCACTGTGGTTAATGCGCTGGACTTCAAAGTCATTTGAAGCTCAAGGTCAGTGGTTCCAGCTCACCTGCCACTTCTCGGAAACCCTATACAGGGTCGCTATGGATTGGAAACAACTCAACAGCGCTTAAGAACAACAACTGTGATAATAAATGCTAACATTCTCTTTTGTTGTTAAATGTCATCAAGTTGGTTCCGACTCATAGCGACCCTGTATAAGGTTTCCTAAGAACAAATGATGAGCTTAAATCGCCAACCTTGCAGTCCAGCTCATTAGCCCACAGCACCTCACCAGGACTCCAACATTCTCTTCCAGTACATGGCAAATGCTTGAGGATAGGCTGCTATGTGCACCATTCTTTGGTTAGCTAGATAGTAGTTTGTGGCAGCTAGGTGCTTAATAGATAAATTAGCTCCTAATTACTGTGGGGAAATTAGTACTTTTCTTGGACTAGCTCTTCATTATGTTTCTAAACATGTGATTGATATTCAGACATCTAGAATAATCAATTTAAAAAACAACAAAACTCTTGGATGTGGGATACAACCAATAGGTTTCAAATCCATCACAAACATCTACCCACATAGGGAAACTGTTGTTCACGACAGTCTAACCTTTCTGGAAGGAATGAGTGATGCCAGGATGAGGAGAAGGGAATCATTCACGCATCACCAATGTGGTGGTTGTTGTTGTTAAGTGCACACATGTTGGTTCCTACTCATAGCGACCCTGTACAGGGTTTATAAGGAGCGGTTGGTGAGCTTGAACCACCAACCTTGCAGTTCAAATTGACTTTGCAGTCCTGCACATTAATGTTGTAGAAATAGCTAAAAACCATATGTCTTAAGTGAATCAGTAATAATCTGTATAACTACAAAGAAGGGAGCATTTTTACAGGGAGTCACTGGAATGACCTTGCTATAGGCAAGTCCTGATCTACTCCTCCAAATTATTTTTATGAGAAATTTTGAAGCAAATGACATGCAAACATTTTTGTCTGCTCGAACATCAACCCTGAAAATGAGTGCTTTATTCTAACTTTCCTTAACAGACAGTTTCAAGATGTCATTTAAATCTTGCCTCAGATAAGCAAATTTATAAGAACCAAAGATTATTAGTGGTTTGCCTGGGGTGGGAAAGATGAGTAAAAGGGAGAGTTTTTGCTTAGGAAATATTGAGTTTACAGAAATGGGGCAGAATTATTTGTAAAAGTACAGTGAGAATGGTAGCAGAACTTGAAGAATGCAATCAACGTGACTGAATTCTACATATAGAGAATGGTGAGTTGGCACATGTTATGGTATGTATACATACATTCACTATATATTATATTGAATCTTACCTCAATATTATTTATCTACGTGTCTTAAGAAAAATCACTTAATCTTTCCAAGTAAAACATCATCTATTACAAAATAGGGATAATAACAGGATGTACTATTTAGGATTATTCTGAGAACTATTTTAACACAATGTATTTGTAGTAGTGTCCCTGTCTCATAGTCAACAATAAATAGTGCTAATTTTACAAATATTCTCATGAGTTTGTCAATTTTTCAAAAATTTCATTTATATTTCTTATGTATATCAACTTATATACTAATAATGAAGCCTATAAAAGCCAGAAGTTAAGCTGTACTTATTTTTATAATTCCAATGTTGTTGCTAGCATTGTGCTGTTTCCATACTCAACATATATTTACTATACAAAATAAATGATTAATAGAATGCATAAATTTTTTTCTACCAGTATGAGCATTAATTTCTTAAAATTTATTCAAAATCATTCAGATAGATGTCTTATTTTTAGAAATTGCCTATCAAAAACTTAGAAACCTCACTCATATTCAGTAACCACAGAATCTCATATAAAAGTGATTTTAGATGGCAGCTGTGACCTTGAATGTATCCCATTTGAATTTAAAGACCACCTGAAGAACTAATTTGATTCATTAGACACAATGACCAAGGACAAGAAGAGCTGTGGGGTAATAGCAAGACCATCATACAGGAAGAAAGCAAAAGGTCATTTAAGGAAAGAAAAAAGAGAAAATCCACCAGCTGCTCCTTGGGAATCCTGTACAGAGGCACTATGAGTTGGAACTGACTAAATAATACTTAACAACTTAACAACAGGCTCCCAAAACTGAGAAAATACATTTCCGTTTGTTAAAGTCACTCATTTGTGGCATGTCTGTTATCACAGTATGGCAACTAAAATAATTGGCTTCTTCATTCATTTTAAAAAGGAAGAAATAGGAAGAAGTGACCCAAGCACCCTTGGACCTACTATGCTCCTAACTAGGATCACAACTATCAAGTTCTTACGGCTCTCTGCTATTGACTTCAAAGTCCTTATGCTGTGGGCTTCTGGTGTGTCATCGCAGGATAAGCAGTCGACTGTGAACTGCAAGGTCAGCAGTTCAAACCCACCAGCTGTTCCTCAGAGACCCTATGCTGGGTCACTATGAGTCAGAATCGACTCGACAGCACTTAACCAAAACAATGCTATGGGCTAAGCATTAGGCTGCTACCTATATTAAAACACACCAGTCACACTCTGTGGGAGAAACATGATGCTGTCTGCTTCTAATAAAGATTATTACATAAACTTTCTCTTAGAAACCCTAAGGGTGACTGTGAGTTGGAATTGACTAGATGGTAGTGAGTGAGTTTGGTGCTTTTTTTTTTGTTTTGTTTTTTTTAGGTTTTGAGCAATCTTTATATTCCTCTTGAGGTTGTGAAAGCCGAAAATACAAATACTATTTTCTGTTTTGCTTTTATTTTCCTTGACCATGGCTATTATTTTCTGGCCTTTCATAATATAGCAACACACCTGAGAAAAACAGACATGCCACAAATGAGTGTCCCTGATACCTTAAAGACTTTCATTTTTTCATGTTGCTGTTGGTAAGTGCCATATAGGGTTTGTTGGTAAGTCAGTATAGGGTTTCCAAGGTTGCAAATATTTGGGAAAGCAGAAAGCTTCATCTTTCTCCCACAGAGTAGTTGGTGATTTGAACTGCCAACCTTGCCATTCAGAGTACAGTGCTTATACTATGGAGCCATGGGAAGCCCTTCATTCTGCATATAGAGTCTGCATTTTCCAGTGTATGGGGAAAAAATGACCTTGTGCTTATCTATGTCATTTTTCTTCCCACTTGGATAACTTCAGAAGATCATCCTTGAGTCTCTCTCAAGTGCACAGCTTTTCTGGCTGTGACAACTTAGTAATACCTGCCAACTAGAGATGATCTTGTCATTCTTTCCAATTTCACATAAAAATTCTTAAAAGGAAAAGTTTCACTCCAATTAAGAAAAGTATATTTTAATCATTATATTTAGATTCTGTAATTGAAGATGACTTCAATTCACAGCTTATAGGCTGTTTCATGATTATTTTAGTGTGAAATGCTTGAAAAAAAAATTTAAAACATGAATAGACACAATTTCTAGAAAACTAAAAATAAATATTGTTCTGGGGAGTATAAAGCTCATAAATATCTTCTAATTACATTATGCTTATATGGGAAGCCTGATGATGATGCATTATTATTATTAATGCACAAGACCTCTTTAAAGTGTTCAAAAAGTAAGGATATCGATTCAAGGATGAATGTGTGCCTGATCCAAACCATGGTATTTTTAATATCCTCATACACATGTGAAAGTTGGACAATGAATAAGGAAGACAGTAGACAAATGGATACATTTGAGGTACTGTGTTAGAGAAGATATTGAAAGAACACTACCAGAAGAACAAACAAATCTATCTTGAAAGAAGTCCAGCCAGAATGTTCCTTTGAATACAATTGTGAGACTTCATCTCTCATACTTTGGACATGCTATCAGGATGAACCAGTCTAAGTCTGGAGAAGGACATCATGCTTAGTAAAGTGCAGGGTCAATGAAAAAGAGGAAGACCTCAATGAGATGGACTGGCATATTGGCAACAGTAACTGGGTCAAGCATACAATTGTGGAGATGGTGCAGGACCGAGCAGTGTTTCGTCCCATTGTGCTATGTGTTGGAACCAACTTGATGGCACCTAATGACAACAACATTATACTAGCATTTGCTTTTTATAGTAACATGCAATGTAAGATTTAAGGATAAAAACTCTGAAACTAATTGCCAACAACATATTGATTATATTTCATGTAAAGAAAGCATTGTATTGAAAAGATTGGATGTAATTTGCATCCTATTACTGGTTCTGGCAAGTAGCATTTCGTAAATAAATATTTTTTGCTTTCAGACCTGAAGACAATCATGTATTCCTGTATCATGTATGCTTAGCATTTCCCCTTTGCCCTTTATTTTGTGAATATACTATGGCCCTTGAACAATAAATTGGTGGGGGTCCTAGGTGGCACAAATGGCTAGGCACACAACTACTAGCTGAAAGGATGGCATTTCAAACTCCTCCAGAGGCACCCCAGAAGTATGGTTTGTCAATTTACTCCCCAAAGGGAGTAATTGAAAACCTTATGAAACTGTTCTACTCCACACATGGAGTTGGCATGAGTTGAAACAGATGTGATGGTAACAAACAACAATGAAAATAAATTACTCAAAATAAGAATTTGTATTACATCTCCACACTCAGTGTGAACCTCTCTGAATGCAAATCTTGAGACCTGTTAACCAGGGCATGCAAATGAAGGGAAAAGAAAGATTCACATAAGGCTCATCAAAATACTCATTAACCCTGAAATTATGCTCTCAGACTACAGCAAATATAGCCATTCTTTACTCTTTTTATAGCTATAAAAAGAATTATATGACACATTTGATTGAGGGTTTGGAAGTTTTATAGGGTTTAAAACTCACTGCCTCTGAGTTGATTCCAACTCATATTGTTCCTCCATAAGACAAAGTAGAACTGCTCCTTAGGATTTACAGGATTGTAAATATTGAGGGGAGCAGACAGCTTCATCTTCCTCACATGGAGTGGCTGGCAGGTTTGAACCACAATCCTTACAGTTAACAGTTCAATGCTTAGCTCATTACACCACCAGGGTTCCATAGTAGAAAAAGGGGGGTTGGGGGAAGACACTAGTAATGTGTAAAACATATAAAAACTAAGGTTATTTAAAATACATGCCCTTTTTCCTACTTGAGAGAATCTTTTAAAGAGGAGTACAGAATTATAAGTAACTTCAAACAAAAGCTAATTGAGAATTTAACACTCCACAACATTCTCTCATTTTATCTGATCTTAATGCAAATTCATTTATTTTCTGCCACACAATGAGTATCATAAATCTATTGTGGAAGTAAGTGTACTTCTTATAGTCTGTTAAGAAGATTAATAAGAATCCAATGGTTTATGACTATTTGCATTCAAATTTACAGATGTAAATGACAGATTAAAGCTGCTGCTTTTTTCAATGCTATTTTCAATTTCACAGTAAATGTTATCAGTCAGTTGTAGTGTCTAACATAGGATTATTTCAAGTTTCACTATCTGGAGATAGTTCACTGTAATGTAGCTATCCTATTGTATTTCTGGAAATTGAAAGTATAATTACTATTTGTACTTGACAGTTATTTTTTATTCATTTTACATCCATTTAGAAGCAAATTCTATTTCATTTTATGTAATATGTCATCTCAATCTGTTGATTATTAAAAATAATTTTACCTAAATATGTAGTAAGAAGATCCTCAGGAAAAATCTATTAGCAGCCCTATACTAGACTCTATGAGTCAGAATTACCTTGATGGGAGTGGATTTAGTATTAGAATAGGCAGTTATGGGTAGGAAGTGCTACAAGCCCTCTTGATGCCCAGTAAACTGTCTACATGATGCAATGAGGCAATATTTAAATAGTCTCAAGGCAGACTTCTTCCAGACTTTATGGCCTTTCATTTTCATGGACAATCTTTCACCACTGGTAATAGAGCAAGGATGATTAGGGGTTGACCTTTGACTACTCAAATGCCTCAACCCTTTAGGGTCTTGGTTTATATAAAACATTGCAGTCATTTACCATAACTAAAGTACAAAGTACTGAGTTGATTCCCAAACATGCAGAAGTCCAGTTGTTTAAAGGAAGATCAAATGAACAGAAAGGTGACAAATCTTGGTGCTGTTTATTGATTCCAGCTTATAGCCAAGGTAATCAACATATTCCTGCCCCACAGGGTTGTTCCAAAGTTGTAGTTTTTACAGAAACAGACTGCCACATCGTTCTCCCATGGAAGTTGCCGTTAGGACCACTAGTCTTCAGGTTAGCAACTGAACACTTAGCTACTGTTCCACCAGGGCTCTTAGCAGCAAAGTTACAACAAACCAGATCCACAGCCATCGAGTTAAATTCGACTCATAGCAACTCTGTATAGGGTGTCTGAGGCTGCAGATCTTTACAAGAGCAGAAAGCCTCATCTTTGTTCCCCAGAGCAGCTGTTGGGTTTGAACCGCTGATGTAGCTAGCAGTCCAGTGCTTATCCTACAGTGCCAACAGAACTCCCTAGTAGATTGGCTAGGCAGACTGACTTTTCGTTTGCTTGGCTTTGCCTTCCCAAAGAGAACCTATCACATCTCTTGATAATAATCACTTCCTTGACTAGTGGTCCACCCTTGCAGCCACCTGACACTGTTTATGCATAAGTAGCTGGGAATCTCCCCACACCTAAAGTCTATCTAATCCTACATATCTCAATTTGTAGAATGTCCTAGCTGGTGGGTCTGCTTCCTTGGTCTTCCTCAGATCTAGTTCAATTAATGGGACTAAGAGTGATCCTATTATAAAACAATGATAAGTCATTGAATGATACAAAGTTTGTCATGATGTTCATTGTTAAGTGCCATCGAGTCGGTTCCGATTCATAGCCACCCTGTATAGAATTTCTGAGGCGTGGCTGGTCAGCTTGAACCGCCGTCCTTGCAGTTCAAACTGACCTTGCAATCCAGAGCTTTAATTCACAGTGCCCCACTAGGTCTCCAAAGTAAAATATGATGAAAAGTATGCTAAGCAATTGATGTGAGTCTAATGGGAAAAAAATCTGGAAAATTTAAGTATCAATGTTGTAAAGACATGGGAAATTCCTAACTTTCTTCCCCAGTCTAGTAATGAAGAGATATTCCCCCACACTTTTAGTCTTCATAAAGTTATATCATAAACCTAAATGTAAAAAATATAGATTATTTTACATGTTAACTTCTATAAAATAGATATTCAAGTGCTATTTCTTTCACTCCCTTTTGTTTTCTCTCACTGAATTAGAAGGAATTAAAGAGATTTTTTTTTTCCATTGTAGGTTAACCTAGGTGAATGTTGGTGCTATGTGTGTGTTTATCTTCACATATGGTAAAGGCAAACCAACAGTGGCGGGGGTGGGGTGGGGTAAAAAAGCCACCTAAAATGAATGCTTACTCTTAAATTATTAAGGTATTCACATCAACTGAACATTACAGGTTTATTATTGGTGAGGCTAGTAATTCAAGTTCACCTAGAGACAATGCTGGAAGAAAACCTGGTGATCTAGTTCTGAAACATAAGCCACTGAAAACCTTATGGAGCACATTGGGGTAGATATGAACAAGAATTGTCTGGACAGAAACTATTGGTGATGGAATATACAAATTAGTTACATTCATTCTGTTATTTCTATAGGGGAAAATGTTGCATTTACACAATCCAAAAAGTTAGAAAAAAGAAAAATGTAAAAGACATGCATGTGATTCTGAACTCACAAAATGGACCCAGAAATGGCTTAGGTGGAATTCAAACAAATTTCCTTTCTTTTAAGCTCCATATCCACTCATAAGTTATGTTTTTCTGCCACACTCTGACATGAATATTTTCAATTTAGCATGTAGGTTGCAGCACTGATTTCTCAGTGTTTTCACTGTATTTCCCATTTTCTTACCACTGTGAAGTGACTTGTACAAATTATGAAATTTTCTATGTTCATTGAGCACTTCCTGTGGCAATCATTGCATTAGAAGTTATCACTCACATTCTTTCATTAGTCTTTCCAATAATTTTCTGAATTTTATATATTGGAAAATGGAATTTCAGAGGATCTGAATAATTTACATAAGATCTTGTAATATATCAACAGAGTGAAGCTGCAAATCCAGGTTGGTATTACTCTAAATCACATGATTTCTAGTATAGCATGCTAACCCTATTTCTGACAAGAACTATTCAGTGGTTGGAGTAGAATCTAATCTGCCTGAATTCTTAATTATAGCCAATGAAACATGAAGCAATGGAAATGAAAACATCTTTGGAGTACTAATAGAACTGAATCTTAGGTACCAAATTCATTAACTTCTATCATCTCTCTTGCAACAAAACTAGAGGATTTCAGAAACAAATGAGCTGTTTCCAATAATAAAATATTGTTTCAAAATTAAGTAGCATAATATTGCTAGAGACATGTAGGGATAACAAAACAAAACAGGTCACATTTAACGAATATTTTCCATCAACTACAATCCTTTAATAGAGTATTTTTATGTTATGTGTTCATTGACGCTGGCAGGCAAATATACAAGCTGCCCTACAATCTCTGAAGAGGCATCTTTACAAAATCCCCAAGTAATCTCACACTAGGCATTTGGCTTAAAATGTAGAGAGTTGATAGCTTAAAGCAAAGAAGAAATATCATTCACTTGGAAAAAGCAAGTTAAAGGTTTACCCTTTACATCAACTTACCTCCATGGCCATAATACCTTCTGTGCCATGTAAACTCTGAAAATAAGAGACAAAAGAATTTTGACAAAAGCAGCTCATTGAATTGTGGTGTCAAACATCACTCAAATAACTAAGATGCTACTTTAAAAAAAATGAAACTTCTCACTCTTTAATATTAAAGTTAAAATATCAACACATCAATGCAGATAATATATTTATTTTTATCATTTTTTCATTTTATAGCTGTAGCACTAAAACTTATGGTCAATAGAGCTGTTATGGATTTATACTACTACTAAGATTATTAATTATATTATAAAAATAAAATTTAGTCACAACTAATACTACTGTTAAGGAGCTCTGGTAGCATAGTGGTTACAAATAGGGCTGCGAACCTCAAGGTCAGCAGTTCGAAACTACCAGCTGTTCCGTGGGAGAAAGATGAGGCTTTCATTTACATCCTCGGAAACGCTGTACAGGGTTGCTATGAATCAGAACCGACTCCACGGCATATAACAACAACAACAATACTACTGTAAAAATTTATTTATTATTTTTACATTGCACATATTTGTATTTTCACATACAAAGTGCCCACATAAAACATGCATGCACATATAATGCAAATTATTGCTGTTGTTGTTAAGTGCTGTTGAGTCAGTTCCGACCCACAGGGAACCTGTATAGGGTTTTCAAGGAGCAGCTGGTGAACTTGAACTGCCAACCTTGAAGTTCAAATGGCTTTGCAGTCTGGTGCATTTACCCACAGTGCCATACCAGGACTCCATAATGCACATAGCACATAACAAACTAACACAGAAGAAGTTTGCCCAGTTTGCAAAAACATATTTGTGTTATTTGAGAAACAATGTTATGTGTATATTTTGTCTGTAGTCATTTATCAATGTCATTAAAATTATTTTTATGATACACATCTATCAATGCCAATATGCATAATTATAAATATATACATATGTGTATTGGTAAACATATATTTGTCAATGTCAGGGAAATGGTTAAGTACTAATTATATCACTATTTTGAGGTAGAGTTTTGGAGTTAGTGTAATAAACTAAAATTTAATTTATTATTTTCTTAAAGTTCGTAAGAATTTAGATATACAATAAAATGTCCATTAGGTTTTCTGTTGGAATAACCAGTGGGGTGTGATATCTATAAAAAATGAAACACATGTATGTCTCACATGTAATAGAAACTCAACAAAATGTATTGCGTTGAAATCATTGAGATTGTTAGAGAAAAATTGACTGCTAAAAAACATGTTGGTTTCTGATAAAAATATAATGTATATCTGCTTGTGTGAAATATCAATTCATTCTTCATTATTATCTTTGAAAGATATAAGTGAAACATTTTGTGTGTCCTAGAACTAGAGCCTACCACTCACCTGTCAGTTTGTCATACTGTGGTGGTTTGCTTGTTGCTTTGGTGATGGAAACTGTGCCAGCAGTATTTTAAATAGCATCAGGGTACATTCATGGGGAACACATTTCAGCTAAGGATCTAAACAAAGACAGACTAGGAAGAAGGAGAGGCTGACTACTTCTGAATGTTTACACACTGAAAATCTTTTGAACAGCAGTGGAACACTGTCAGATAGTACCAGAATATTGAGTATTGAAAGATGATAAATAGCACCAAAATATTCTCAGGTATAGTGCCGGAAGATGAGCCCCTATGGTTGCAGCTGGGGAGGAGCTGTCTTCCCAAAGTAGAACCGATTGTTATGATGTTAATGAAATAAAGTTCTCAGAACCTTCTTTTGCTGATGGGGTCCAATTCAAAAGGGCAGAAACAACTGTAAATATGCATTAATAATCAGAACATGGAATTATGAAGTATGAATCTAGGAAAATTGGAAGCTGTCATTAGTGAGCTGAAATGGACTGGTATTAGCCATGATGAATCAGACAACCATATGGTCTACTATGCAGGGAATGACAAATTGAAGCGGTATGGTATCACATTCATCATCAAAATGGACATTTCAAAATCTGTCTTGAAGGATACTGCTGTCTGTGATAGTATAATACCAATAAAACTATTACTAGGAAGACCAGTTAATACTATTATTATTCAAATCTATACCAGTGATGGTGAAATTAAAGAATTCTACCAACTTCTTCTTCAGTCTGAAATTGACCAAACATGTAATCAGCATGTATTGATAATTACTGGTGACTGGAATACAAAGGTTGGAAACAAAAAATAAGGATCAGAAAATGGCAATACTGAATGGCTTAAAATAAGGAAAAAATAGTAGAAGTATTTCATCTCAAGACATCGACAAATTCTTAAAAAAAGCGGGGGCGGGGGGTTTCTTCCTGTTGTTGGTAGGTGTCATCAACTCGTTTCTGACTCAGCAACTCTATGCGCAACAGAACAAACACTATCTGGTCAACCATCTTCACAATTGTTAGTATGTTTGAGCCCATTGTTGCTGCCACTGTGAAAATCGATTTTGTTGGGGGTCCTCCTCTTTTTCGCCATTTCATCACTTTTCCAATCATGATGTCTTTCACCAGAGACTGCCCCCTCTTAATAATATGTGCAACGTACAAGAAATGAAGTCTCGCTATCCTGGCTTTTAAGGAACATTCTAGCTGTGCTTCCTCCAAGGCAGATTTTTTGTTCTGCTGATAATCCATGGTACTTTCAATATTCTTCACCAACATCAGAATTTAATGAAGTTCTTCTAAGGACTTCTTTATTTATTGTCCAACTTTCTCATGCATAGGAAGCAGTCCAAAATAGGGTCAGACTCACCTTACTCTTCAACTTGACATCTTTGCTCTTAGCAACTTCAAGAAGATCTTTGCAGTAGATTTGCTTCATTCTATTCTTCTCAATGTTACCCATAATTGGTTATTATCCACACAGTAGATAATAGCTTTTGCATAATGAATAAAGCACAAGTAAACCTTTCTGGTATTCTCTGCATTGATACAAGACCCCTCATTCCACACATCTTCTTTTGAATTTGACTTGAATTTCTGGCAGCTCTCAGTTGATGTAATATTGCAATCATTGTTGAAATATCTTCAGCAATATTTTACTTGTGCATGATATTATGACATTGTTGGATGATTTCTGCATTCCAGTGGGTGATCTTTCTTTGGAATGGGCACATATATGGATCTCTTCCAAATAGTTGGCCAGGTAGCTGTCTTCCAAATTTGTTGGCATTGACAAGTGAGTGTCTCCAGTACTATATCAGTTGGTTGAAACATTTCAATTTGCATTCTGTCAATTCCTGGAGCCTTGTCTTTTGCCAATGTCTTCATTGTTGCTGGGACTTCATCCTTCAATACTATTGGTTCTTGATCATATGGGCCTCTTGAAATCATTGAACATTGACCAACTATTTTTGGTACAGTGACTGCTTATTCTTTCCAACTTCATGTAATATTTGTAACATCATTCAATCTTTTATCCAAAGAATGCTTCAGTATTACAAATCAAAACTTGTTTTTTTTTTCTTCAGCTCATTCAGCTTGAAAATGATAAGTGAGCTCTTCTATACTGACTTTCTAACTCCATTACTTTGCATGTTTCATTTGAAATTTTTTGGTTCATCTTGTCTTCTAGTCACTTTAGCTTCTTTATGTTCAAGAGCAAGTTTCAGAGTCTCTTTTAACATCACTTTGGTCTTTTCAGTCTTTCCTGTCTTTTTAATGACCTTTTGCATTCCTTCCTGTATGATATTCTTAATGCCATCCTACAGTTGTTCTGGCCTTCAGTCATTAGTGTCTGAATACAACAAATCTGTTCTTCAGATGGTCTCTAAATTCATGTAGACTATATCTACTCAATTCACAATAAAAGCTTAAACAAAAAAAACAAACAAAAAATAACAGAGGGAATAGAAGCATCTGCTGTTAAGCAAGGGGCTTGTAATCATTGTAATGAAACAAAAAATGACAGGTTGAATGCAAAATTGATGTTCTCCCATGTAAACTATCACCCAATTCACAATAAAATCTTTAAACATTTTTTCTATCATGTGATTTCCAGCATAATTTCTGTCACCAAAGTTATATTTTCCAACTATGGATCCTTCCTCCTAGTTTTTAACTTTTGCATTGCAATCACCAGTAATTATCAACACACTTTGATTGCATGTTTGTTCTATTCCAGATTGAAGAAGTTAGTAGAATTCTTCAACATCATCATAAAATGGTTTTACTAGTTGGTGTGGAAATTTTAATAATCGTGGTATTACTAGTCTTCCTTGTTTGTTGTTAATTGTGTCAAGTTGGTTCTGAATCATGGCGACCATCTATATAGGGTTTCCAAGGTGGGTTTGACAGACAGCAATTGTACTTCAAGAAAGATCTTGAAATGCCCTTTTTAATGATGAATGTCATGCCATTCCTCTTGAATTTGTCATTCATGGCAAAGTAAGTCATATGATTGTCTGATTCAAAATGGCCAATACCAGTTCATTTCAGCATACCAATGCCTAGGATATCAATGTTTATGTGCTCCACTTAATTTTGTCAACTTTCAGTTTTCCTAGATTCATACTTTGTACAATCTATGTTCTGATTATTAATGGATGTTTGCAGTGGTTTCTTCTCATTTTGAGTTGTGTCATATCAGCAAATGAATAAACTGAAAGTTAACTCCATCCACATCAATAAGGTAAACTGTACGTTGAGGGGACAGTGCTTCCCCAGTTGTATTTTGAGTGCCTTCCAAACTTGCAGCTATCATCATCTGTCATGATCGCTGCAGTGTTCCATTGCTTTTCATAAGATTTTCAGTGGCTAGCCATTCAGAAGTGATCTGCCTCTCCTTCTTCCAGTCTTAGTTTGGAGGCTCTGCTGAAATCTGTCCACCATGGGTGACCTTGCTGGTATTTAAAATACTGGTAGCATATCTTCCAGCATCACAACAGCACACAAGCCAACACTGTATGACAGACTGACAGATAAGTGGTGTTCTTTTTCTTCCTAGAGATTGTTTTTTAAACATTTATCAGTGTACCACTACATTAGATTGTCTAAACTATATTTTTAAAATATTTATTAAAAGTATGTATATAAAGAAGAGTCAACCTAGACATACATTCATTTACTTATCTAATCCAAGTGTCAAAAGAAATTATTAATTCTAATTTCATATACCAGATTTAATGAAATAAACATATTAACTATGTTTGCATAATTTATGGAAACTACACAGAAAGTGTTTCTTACCTGCTAGACACGTTGTAAAAGTCACAAGGTGACTGACCAGCAACCACATTTTCATCTTGTCTCCCATAAATGTTAGGTGTAATTCTTTCAAAGAGCTTTAGTGTTAAGGCAGTTAGATACTAGGAAACACCTGCATCAAATAGGTAAGGGGGTGAGGGAGCAAGAAAACAAGTGAAGAAAAGAAGAAAGGAGGAAAGGGAAGGGGGATGGAGGGAAGGGAGAGGAGAAGAGACAAATGAGCTGCAACATTATCCATTATCATCATTGTATAAATTCTATTTTATTTTATATTATTTTCCTGCAGAATAAGTTTCGTTTAAAACATCTATAAACACTCTGTTGTAAGGAAAACAATAGATTTGATGTCAGAAAAATTCAGCAATCATTCTAAGAGTGACAGTATTAATTATGAATAAAATCACTCAGTTGTTTGAATTTTTCCTCCATTGAATACACCCACTCCTCATTTAACAACATTGTTAGTTTCCAAAGACCAGGTCATTAAGTAAGAGTCAGAGTATGCCCTGTCATTGGCATCATTACCACCATTCCCAGTTTCTCACTCGCCGTTAGGTGTCACCAGTGCATCTCAGAATGGGCATGGTGGGGCTGGTCCTCCAGCTCATCACGTCTTCCCCATTATGGAGTCCGTAGGGGTGGTGGTAGTGATGGTGGCGGTCAGGTGCTGTCTGCCAAGTCCTGCCATTCACGGGCAGGAACTCCACTGGTCTTCCACTTTTTCATGCTCGGTAACTTCAAGCGGCCCTCCCTTATGTTCACTCTTCCTGCTTCCCCCAGCGACCTCTTTGGCACTTTTGGACCTTTGCCAAGCCTCCCCTAGCCAACCCACCACCTCAAATCATCCTATTGTTGCCTTGTAACCTCCATGGTTGGACTGACATGTTGCACATAAATGGCAGAAGGCATCTTATGGCTGACAGTCACTGTCCCTCCTGTGGTCCAGTCTTTTGGTATGCCATTCAGGGTGACCATGAAGGGGCCCCAGGTCTGACCACAACCCTGAATGAGACCCAGACCATCCAAGAGGTCATTTGAGAACTCTTTCAAAGTTGTAAATTCAAAATGTGGCAGAACAAGATAGTCTACAAGCGATAGTAGGTATATGTAGAAGAAGTTCTGATAGCATAGTGGGTTATGAGTTGGACTGCTAACAGCAAGGTCAGCAGTTCAAATTTGCCAGCCACTCCATGGAAGAAAGAAGGGGCTTTCTGCTTCCAAACAACAGTACACAACCACCATCAGGTATATGTTTGTTGTTGTTGTATGCTGTTGAGTCGGTTCCGACCCATAGAGATTCTATATAGTGTTACCAAAGAACGGCTGATGAACTTGATCCACCGATCTTGTGATTCAAACCAAATTTACAGTCCAGTGCATTATACCACAGTGCCACACTAGGACTCCCATCAAGTGTATGAACAGTCTTCAAAAACGTATGAAAAAATTCCACCATCTTTTAATACAATTTTTCTATGAACTTTTTGAAGTCTCTCATATATTGATATCAGTCTGTGTACAATGAGTACTGTTGTAAACATTTCAAAATTAATACTTTTAATACATTAATTTTATTGATATAAAGATCCAATTTAAAATAATTTTCATAAGAGGTCTGTAAATTCAGATATATGAGTATGATAAAAGGATAAATTATTAGTATTCCCCATTGGTGATTTTGGTAAGTTTTTGCCAAATTTACTAATTTTTAAACATTCATATAAATTAAGTAATGTATTTATCCTCCCCTTGGCTTCTTCCATTTATCCATTCAACAAAGAAAAAAGTAATATCCTCCTAGGTGTTAGCATGGGGGAAATCTAAGTTTTGTTTGGCTTATAGGATAAAAGTTGAGGATCCCTCTTTATGATAAGAACTATAAAATTACAAATACAAATGTAGATACAATTACAATATGCTGCTTTAATGAATTTCACAAAAACTTATGACCCTGTGATTGCTGAATCCCAACCCAAGGTCTTGAAAGCTTCTCATGCAAACAGGGGTCCTTGGTATTACATTTCATTATCTTTGTGGCAAATTTACTACTGTGACCAGGCAGGTAGACATGAGAATGCAAAGAAATATTCAATTGTCTTGCTCTTAAGGAATTCACAAATAGATAACAGAACATAGATAAGGATACCATCAGTGCAATGATAGCAGTTTCAGAACTTTGCACTACTAAACTTTAAAGCATATTAATGATTTGATTACACCATTGAAAGATGTGGCATAGTGGCAATCAAACTGGCTATGCTAAAAAGGACATTAGGATGGAGGTGCCACACGCTTAGATTTATATCATGTGGTGCCTTCAGAACCCACCCATTTCTTCTTATTGTAACACCATAAGAACAGTGTGTCCCAAGGTATTAGAGTGCATGGACACAAAAGGAGTTTCAGCTTGAAAAAACATTAAACCATGGTTTGAAAGGATATATAATAATATAGAACAACATCTTGACAGTTTTGAGAATAAAGTATAAATTAAGATACTGTGTGAAAGCCATTCTGAAAAGAAAATACCTATTGCTTTAATGTTTAATGTATAAATATACTTAAACATTATTTAAAACTTCCAAAATACTACCGATTGCTGCATGATATTGACATGTTAAGTAAAAATGAGGGGTCCTATTTTGTCCTATCGTGATGGATTTTGAGGCTATATAACCATCCTGATTTGCAAGAACACTTTTAGCACTTTGTAATTGTTGTTTTTGTTGTTAAGTACCATCGAGTCAGTTCTGACCTATAGTGACCCTTTATAGGCTTTCCAAGGATCAGCTGGTGAGCTTGAACCACCGACCTTACAGTTCAAATGGCTTTGAAGTCTGGCGCATTAACCCACAGCGCTATACCAGGACTCCAGCACTTTGTAGAGGATACTCAAAATGTGTACTAGTAATGGGTAAATCAGATAAAACTTCATTACTCATTTATATATAGGTTATACTACTGTTAATAAATAATATACTTCTACAAAAAAATTGAGCTGCATTCTTAGAGATAACTTAGAGGAAATGGGTCAAATTAGCATCAGTGACTACTTACAATGTATATGATAAAGACAAAGATGTCCAACAGATAAACTTTAAAACAGCAGGGTTAATGTGTGAATAATTTCCTTCTCTTGGAGATATTTAAGAAGGTGAGAGCAACCCATCAGTCTAGACTGTATTAAGTAATGTCCTCCAGTTAGAAGGAAAATGAAGTAAAGGCCAGTGGAATGATATAATATTTTTAATAAATAATGTATGTGAATATCAGTATCTAAATACAGACCTATGTGAGAATCGTTGAAGTCTGCACACACTGATTATGTCTAGCTAATGTTTGGGAGTATGATAGCTACAAAGGATAACCATAAGGCTGGTGGTTCAAGCCCACCAGCCAATCTGCGAAATTAAGATGAGGCTTTTTGTTCTCACAAAGATTTACATCCTCTAAAATACTCTGTTGTTGTTGTTAAGTGCCATCGAGTTGGTTCCGACCCATGGCAACCCTGTATAGGGTTTACAAGGAGCAGCTGGTGAGCTTGAACTGCCAACCCTGCAGTTCAAATGGCTTTGCAGTCTGGCACATTAACCCACAGCGCCACATCAGGACTCCCTAAAACACTATACATGGTCCCTATGAGTTGCAACTTACTTGACAGCACTTAACAACTGCAACAACTTTTGTTTAACACAAAAATAATGTGCATCTGAATATCTTATTGGCTGGTTGACTTCTAATTACTCTAATTGGGTTATTGACACTGATTAGAATGATGTCCTTTGTAAAAAAAGCAAGCAGGTAAACTATGCCCAAGTTGGCATGCCATAAAACAATTATTTTTTTAATGATGAACTTAGATTGAAATATGTGAAAACGCTTTAAAAATTAGATGGCATGTGCCATTTAATGAAAGTAATGATTGAATTTTAATGAGTTCTAATTTATCTATTAATTAATGACTTTAATCTGAGAACTCTAAATGAGTCTCAGAGGAGTCCTTATAGCACAATGGTTAAGTGCTAGGTTGCTAATCGAAGGGTGGTGGTTAGAACCACCAACCGCTCAATGGGAGAAACATGTGTAAAGATGACAGCCTAGCCTGCCCTATGAGGAGTTCTGCTCTGTCCTGCAGGGCTGCTGTAAAATGTCAATGCGTGGAAAAATGATTCTTAGAATTCAGGAAAAGAGACAGCAAGGTCTTCTTTAAATTCTGGGTCAGCTTAGGCTGTTACTTTGGACAGGTTTCGCAACCTCTCTGACCCTAAATTTCCTCCAATGTAAAATACAGGAAGAATGTCTAATTTATAAAAACAAAACCATACCCACTGCCACCCAGTCAAGTCTGAATCATAGCAACTCTGCAGGAAAGAGTAAACTGTTTCTTTAGGTTTCTAATATTGCAATTTTGTACGGGAGTAGATAGCTTTATCTTTTTCCCTTGGAGTGGTCAGTGAATAGGAACCACTGACGTGAGGTTAGCAGCCCAGGGCTTAACTCACAGTGCACCAGGTGTCCTTCTAGTTTTGCAAGGGTTGAATTAAATTACACATGTAAAATGATTGCTAGGCAAGGAGTCCACAAATATCAACTCAATATTGTATTGACCATGGGCCATTAACTTTAATGCCTGAAAATAAGGATAAAAATTCATACAAGTAATAAGGAATGTATCTTATCAAGATTCAGGTCTTTGTTAGGTATTAAACATTGTTGTTAGTGCCCTCTAGTCCTCTGACTCATACCACACAATATAGGGTTTCTGAGAAGTGGCTGTTGAATTTGAACTACCAACCTATCGGTTCAAACTGAACTTGAGATCCAGTGCTTATCCTACAGCACAACACTGCTTACAAATTTACTTTAGAAGAGGTTATTCTATGTGGCGATATTTGAAATGCAGACCTCATTGTGGGCTGTTGGAATTCTCTACCTTCCAGTGTGAACTTACACACGCTAATCAGAATGAAATCTTCTCATTATTTTGAGCTGTGTTGTGCCTTCCCTTCAAAATGTTGTCTTTTCCTTCCTTTCAAAATGTTGCCTGTTTCAGTAGGAGACTCAGTCTTCACCTTGGCAGTAATTTTATTTCTGTTAATGAATTCCTTGACACTTGGATATGAAACTATCTTTCACGTCTTGTTGACACATTTATGTTCTGCTTTTGATTTGTTCTATTGTGTCTCCATTTAGTTAGCCCATCATTTCTCACTCCTAGAGTTGTGTGGCTGAGTAGAGTGAGGAAAAAGCCTAAGTCCATTTCAGTTGATACAGAATACACTATTCTATTATTGAGTTCTTGGACATTTTGTTGTTGTTGTTAAGTGCCATTGAGTCGGTTCTGACTCATAGAAACCCTGTATAGGGTTTCTAAGGAGTGGCTGGTGAGCTTGAACCACCAACTTTGTGGTTCAAACCAACCTTGTGGCCCAGTGCTTTAACCCACAGTGTCACACCCGGACTTTTGGACACAGTGCTCAGTAATCCATAGCTAGATCCCCAGCCCCGAGTGGGTTTCAAGGTGTTTCAGCAAATGTAATGGTAGAAGAAGAAAACAGATTCTGTGACAATGATAAACTAGCTAGGGAAGAAGCCATGTTTCTTCTCATCAAATGAAATGTGAGTATTAGAATGACCCAGGAGAAAGATGAGGCTTGATGCTCCAGCCAAAAATTTAAAAAGCCTCAGAAATTTGTGTGCATCAAAAGACTTCACCAGAAGAGTAAAAAGGCAACCCAGAGAATGGGAAAAAATTTTCTGCAATGACAAATCAGACAAGGGACTAATTTCTAAAATATATAGGAAACTACAACACCTCTACAAGAAAAAGACAAATAACCCAATTTAAAAATGGGCACAGGATATGAACAGACACTTCACCAAAAAGGAGATCCGGGCAGCCAACAAACATATTTAGAAATGTTCATGATCACTAGCCATTAGAGAGATGCAAATCAAAATAACAATGAGATATAATCTCACACCAACAATAACAGCAAAGATGAAAAATGTAGAGGACAATAAATGCTGGCAGGGATGTGGCAAGCCTGAGACACTCCTGCATTGCTGGTGGGACTGCAAAATGGTCCAACCTCTCTGGAAAGCAATATGGCACTTCCTCAGAAGGTTGCAAATAGAAATACCTTATGATCCAGCAATTCCTCTACTTGGTATTTACCCACAAGAAATATGAGCCACAACACAAGAAGATATATGCACACCAATGTTCATAGCAGCACTATTTACAATAGCAAAAAGATGGAGACAGCCAAAATGCCCATCAATTGAAGAATGGATAAACAAACTGTCGTACATACACACAATGGAATATTATGCTACCTTGAAAAATAACAAGGAAGCTGCAAGCCACTGCTTAACATGGATGAACCTTGAGGACATTATGTTGAGTGAAATTAGTCAGTCACAAAAGGAGAAATACTGCATAGGACCACTACTGTAAAAGACTAAGAAAAAGAACCCATACTAAAGGGGGGTGGATTCTTTGCTGATTGATGGGATGTGGGGAGGGTAAGGGGAGGGAGGGGAAGGTGGAGCACAGGCCAGGAAATAGACACAGGATAGTTTGGATGCTGGGGAGGGAGGCAATATACAAGAAGGGAGAGAGGAATGGAAGAACAAAGCAGATGGGAGAACAGTTAGGCATGTTTGAATGGGCTAAGTGGGATAGAGGTAAATAATGATGTATACACAACCTTCAAACAACAGGGTTCTGGGATACAGAGATTGAGACATGGTTGGAATGAGGAAAAGGGGGAACAATGTTAAGATACTTGGCTGTCTTTTGAATCTTGGTTTTCCTTGCACTGTATTATAAAATAGACACTGGAGGGGGAGAGAAAGGAATAGCCAGAAACATCACCATAGAAAGCTTGTAAGTCCATCTTCTGCCTATAACTGATTGGAATACCTAAAATCGGGCTACAACATGCCCAGTGAAGGAGGCTTCCTGTGGAGACTCTGCATTACATAAGACTATAGGGGGAAGCCTGAACCACATCCAGATCTTCAGAGATGGGAAATTTCCACTTCAAAGGACGAGCAGACCAGCTTGGAGTGGCTAGAAGAACAGAAGATACTTCTTGAAAGAAAGACCTACAGGAAAAATACAAAAAATATAGGCAGACCAACTGTTACTACAAGAACAAGCAAGTTGCTTGCCCAGGAGACATCAAGGCAAGTGGTTGGGTCTCCTCAGTGGAAACCATCTTCCAAGACTAAGACTCTATGGGAATACACGCTCTGATTGTTGACCACGCTCGTCACCGATAAGGGGAAGTGAGAGAAAAACAACAATGAAGCTGCAAGCTAAGCCCTGCAATGTTCAATAGACTCCTGTGAACCCGGGTGGAGACCTGGTTGGCCAGCAGTGTGGCAAGACCTGGGGACTCTTGGGCCCAGAGTCAGTGACATAGCCACAGAGGACTAGAGTGGAGAGTGAAGCATCCAGCTGATAAGAAGAGAGGGCATATGCACAAGAACACCCACACTCGCAGATAATACCCACTTGACCTGGCTTCAATGACTAGATGATCAGAGCTAAACCAGAAGAAGAAAGAAGAGGAAAAAAAGAGTAATCTGATACAATTTGATGAACTTGACCTACACTTAAGGATGCAATAGCTCAAAAGCGGGAACAAATCCTTATAGCAAGGATCATTCCCACCCCCTCCATACACAGAGTAGACAGGGGTGGGCAACTTGGACATTGGTTACCCAAAATGGGGGGGGGGAGGCTACAAAGGTAAGAAGGCTATAAAGGTTTACAAGCTTTCAAGAGGGAACCTAGATTCAGAGGACCTGGAGGAAGGTAGAATCTCTAGTGAGTAGTATTACATCTGTCTAGGCGGGGCTGATGCAATGAAATGCGGATGGGTCTCTTGTGATACAATAGTGAATAATTGTTATCAGGACTGCTTGTGAGGGTTGGTAATGTAAAGGTAGACATTTTTTGTCGCAAGGAGGGGGGTGATTGACTTT